CCGAGGACTCCCCAGTTATCCCAGTTACCCTCCCAGTTACACCCCCAGTTGTCGCCCCCAGAGTCAAGGACCCCCCAGTTGGCCCTGTGACCCTCCCAGTGGCCCCAGTGACCCTCCCAGTGGCCCCCCCAGTGGCCCCAGTTGCCCCCAGGCCCCCTCCCAGTGGCGGCTCCCTGAGGCTCGGGCTGGTGTTCGCGCTGCCGGTGGCACTGGGTGGGGCACTGGTGATACTGGGAGCACTGGGAGGGCTGGGGAGGCCCCCCCGGCCGCCCCCCCCGAGCCCCCACGGCTGAGGGTGCTGGGGGGGAGGGGGGGCCCAAACTGGGAGGGACACCCCAAACTGGGAAAGGACCCCCGAACTGGGATTGGTTACCCCGAACTGGGACCAGGACCCCTCCCAAACTGGGGGAGAAGGCTCCAACTGGGAGCTCCCCTCCCCCCCCCAAATTCACTGTTCTCCCTTCGCAAACTGGGAATCCAAACTGGGACGGGACCCCCAAACTGGGATCCGTCCCAGACTGGGATTGTTGATCCCAAACTGGGATTGTTTGACCCCAAACTGGGACTGACCCCTCCCCCAGTCCGGCCCTGCCCCCCGGGTGGGGGAGGGGCGGGGGGTGAGGGCAATAAAGGCTCGGTGCTGCCCCTCCCCCACCCCGCGCCCGAGTCCATTTTTGGGGGGGGATGGGGGAGGGGCAGATCGGGGTGCGCGCGGTGGGGGAGGGGAGGGAAGGGCCGGCTCCCCTCCCCCTCCCGCTCCAGCTGTTGAGCGGATCCAGCTGTGGGTGGGGGGAGGGCGCGGCCCGTGAGTCACCACCGAGGGGTCCCCTGGGGGGGGGGAGGGGCGGGGAACGCCCAGGACCGGGGGTCCCCCTGGGGGGGGAGGGGCGTGACGTCATAACAGGGCGGGGGGGAGGGGGGGGCAGGGCACGGGGGAGCTCCTGGGAGCGTCCCAGTTCACACCAGTACAGCCCGGGCGGGACCAGTGTCCCCATCCCAGTGCCACCAGTGTCCCCGTCCCAGTTCACACCAGTACAGCCCGGGCGGGACCAGTGTCCCCATCCCAGTGCCACCAGTGTCCCCGTCCCAGTTCACACCAGTACAGCCCGGGCGGGACCAGTGACCCCATCCCAGTGCCACCAGTGACCCCATCCCAGTACCACCAGTGACCCCGTCCAACTGCCACCAATACAGCCCGGGCGGGACCGGCGCCACCAGTGCCACCGGCCCAGCCCGGGTGGAGCGGAGGGGGAGGAGCGAATGCAAATCCCAGCGCTCCGTTCACCAATCACGCCGAAGGGGCGGAGCGTCAGAGCAGGTGGGGATAAAGGCGGAGTTATGCAAATTAAAGATACAATGACTACGAAAGGCATCACGGGAGCAAAATTGGGGCAGAATTCGGGGGTTTCGGGGCTCGGCGCGGGCGGAGCGCGGGAGCGAAGCGCGGAGCGGCTGCGGAAAAGCTCCCGGAGCGGCTCGGGGCGGCTGCGGGGGCGGCGCGGGGGTGACCGTGAGGTGCGGGCGGGCCGAGCGGGGCCGGCTGCGGGGAGCGGAGCTCCACCGGCATCGCTTCTCGGCCTTTTGGCTAAGATCAAGTGTAGTATCTGTTCTTATCAGTTTAATATCTGATACGTCCTCGATGAGAGGACTTCATATTAAACGGATTTTTGGGCTCGGGAGTTGGACCCGGAGCTTGCTCCCTCCGCTCCGCGCATCGTCCCGGTATTGCAGTGCCTCCGGGAACGGTGCACCCCGCTCGGGGTCATTCTATCGGTGAAAGACAGACTCAGCTTCTGCTGCTCTAGCGCGATATCCCCGCGCTTCAGCCTCCAACCCTTCTCTAGCGCGATATCCCCGCGCTTCAGCCTCCAACCCTTCTCTGTCGCGATATCCCCGCGCTTCAGCCTCCAACCCTTCTCTAGCGCGATATCCCCGCGCTTCAGCCTCCAACCCTTCTCTGTCGCGATATCCCCGCGCTGCGCCTCACGCCCGGACCCTTCTCTCGCCCTCCCGCTGCCGCTGTCCCCGCACCGGCCCCGCCGCGCTCACAAACATTTTACATTTAATATTTGTCTTAATATTTGCAAAAAGCCGATAATGTAATGTGCATTTATATCCGATGCGTTCCGTTCTAAAATGGGACTGAGAGGGGAGCGGGAATGTTTCAATAAATGGGTCTGTGAGGCGAGCGAATGTGTTTTATTTATTAAATGTAGTTTAAGAATTATTATTTTTAGGTATTTTTACCTTTTTTCGGTCGTTTCTCAGCCGGGATTGTCTGCTGTTGCCCTGAGGTCGGGGATCAAAGTGGCGGCGGGCGGGAAAGCGCGTGAGGGGAGCCCCGGGATCTGAGGGGAAAAAATGCGACATTTAAAACTCAACGTGTTTTATTTATTAAATGTATTTATTTTATTATTATTTTTAGGTATTTTTACAGTTTTTCGGTCGTTTCTCAGCCGGGATTGTCTGCTGTCCCCCTGAGGTCGGGGATCAAAGTGGCGGCGGGCGGGAAAGCGCGTGAGGGGAGCCCCGGGCACCGGGACCTGAGGGGAAAAATGCGACATTTAAAACGCAACGTGTTTTATTTATTAAATGTATTTATTTTATTATTATTATTAGGTATTTTTACAGTTTTTTGGTCGTTTCTCAGCCGGGATTCTCTGCTGTCCCCCTGAGGTCGGGGATCAAAGTGGCGGCGGGCGGGAAAGCGCGTGAGGGGAGCCCCGGGCACCGGGACCTGAGGGGGAAAATGCGACATTTTAAAACGGAACGGTTTTTATTTATTAAATGTGTTTTCAAATTATTATATTTAGGTATTTTTACCGTTTTTCTGTCGTTTCTCTACCGCGATTCTCTGCTGTTGCCCTGAGGTCGGGGAACAGAATGGTGGCAGGCGGGAAAGCGCGTGAGGGGAGCCCCGGGCACCGGGACCTGAGGTGGCAACGGCGACATTTAAAACGCAACGTTTTTTATTTAGTAAATATATATTTTTTATTATTATTTTAAGGTATTTTTAGGTATTTTTACCGTTTTTCGGTCGTTTCTCAGCCGGGATTGTCTGCTGTCCCCCTGAGGTCGGGGATCAAAATGGCGGCGGGCGGGAAAGCGCGTGAGGGGAGCCCCGGGACCTGAGGGGGCAACGGCGACATTTGGGCACAGAGCCGTGTCGGGAGTCGCGACAGACACACGATACCCCTCAGCCGCTGAATGCCGGGCCCTCAGCCCGCGGCGGGAGCGGGGAGAAGCCGGCGCCGTTTCCCGGAGCCTGGTGAGGGGATGGGGGAAAGCGGCAGCTCCCG